TCGGCTACTGTGCGGAGTTTAACGTAATGGTTAGACCGTGTACGACGACGAGGTCAGATCCCAATCCCGGTCACGAATGAGTCACGATCCGAGTCGTGCAGTCACGAAACTGCCGCTCGATTCTACAAGTCTCTCTCTTTCTCTCTTTCTCTCTCTTTTTTTTCTGACAAATGGGATTTTATTCGACATTTTTATACGCATCTATTTATCCATTTTTTTATTTCACAAATATTTATTTTGAATATATTTGTAATTGTTAGATATCTCTCTCTTATTAAATTGTATTAAGTATGTAGTTAAATTACTAGTTTTTAAATAAAATTTTTGTGTAAAATTCTCAATGAAATGATTTGAGAAGTCGGTTGATATTTTGCTCATGTTGCTAATTATTATTTCGGAGTAGTACAATATCGCGGAAATGCCTAATAATAAATAGAAATACAACAATCTGAAAATAAACGTATGAATCCATGATTGAAAATGATGTTCAATATTAATACACTGGATATACGTATGCGACAGTGCAGAAGTATTATTGACATTGAATATCACTGATTTTTTAAATACATAACGGAAATTATTTTAGTTAATTGTACAGTTAATTTTGCCAACATTACCTGGAAATGTTAATGTAAAATTGATATTTTATGTGCAAAACCCGATATCACATATATGTGCGAACGAAAAAATTGAGAGCTGCTCGAGAAAAAGCGCAATCACCATGAAATACAAATTTACAGAATATTGTTCATGTTTCGTTTTTAATCTCTTGAGCGGATATATGATGCATTCTAATTGTCTGTTACGAGCACACCGACCGTATTTATCATTCCAATATTGGTACAAAACTAGTTTGCTAGATATTCGCGACAAATACTGTACGCAAAAATCATTGAATTGCAGCCAAAAACACATTTAATAAGTCATACTATACATATGTAATAATGATGCAATCGATGTTACAGCAAACTGTATTCGGATTATATTGCTGCAGAGATCTTCGTATAAATAGATAGCTATATTTTTTTATTCAGTTGCAGCATTATTATTTTCACATTTATTGTGTATATCAAAAAGATTTTTAAACAAAATATATATGTAAAACTAAATAAATATTACATGATAAATTTCTGAAACTGTCCGTAGTTGTTGCTACAATGTTCAAAAATTATATAAAAAATTATATAATTTTTAATAAAAAGAAAATTTTATAAAAAAAAGATTCCTTATCTATGTTAAACATAAATAATATCCGAAGTATTTTCAATGCTTGTTAGTTCAATATTACGTCACACATACTTGCTTCATTAATATCTGTGGAGACCCGTAAATGCAAGTACGTTTTTCATAATGCATATGCGTATAAAAGATATGATCCCATTCGAAATTTGCGCAACTGCCAAAGAGTATGAGAAAAGTGCTCGGAATCTCGGTCGAGATGCGCTCGTAATGAACGCGCACAATGCGATTAAGTTAATTGCCTCTTTAATTAGACGGCACACAAACTTACGTCGGTAGAGCCGCCTTCCTCTCTCCCTCCTTCAGCATGCGTTACACAAATATTTAATTACAGCGTCACACGTGCGGGATTACTCGGATCTCCTTTGCATTCGCAAGACTCGGCTAATAGTTAGTATGAAACAGGATTTGCGCCAAGTTCCTACGCGCGCTCGATCTCTTTCTGTGTACGTGTAATAATAACAAACGTCACAGGCTGTGATTGTAATTATAGTTTTCCGCAAGTTGCATGTCGCATGTGATTTGACGAATACATGTTGTCGAGCAAACATTGAAGATTGATAATATATAATATCGTTAAGAAATTTTTTATTTAAAATATAATTAGAGAGAACGATTTATTAACAGCAATCTCAGAATCGACCGAACCGACAGAAACTCTGCGCACAGAAGATATCGCTGATCCAAGGACAAAGGAAATCAATCGAAACAGGCGTAAGATGCCATCCTCTCTCGCGCAAATTAGATTTGTCGGGGAAATCACGCGTATAGACGCACACATACAGCAACGCTATCGATGCACTAGGCGGGGGGCGGGGGGGGGGGGGGGAAGCAACACGACGGCGCAGGAGATTCGACATATCCGTTAATCCGTACGGCTTAATGCGCGCGCGAGGACCGGGAGAATGCAGGAACCGGGGTATACGCGTCCAAAGGCGGTGTGAGACCCGCTTTCCCGCTGACCATTGGGGGTAATTATCGTGGCTCCGGGGAAAGCTCTCTCACGCTCAAATCCCTTCCGGCTAGCCAGCTCTAGCGTAGGCTCGCTGGTACACGTCAATCCTGACCCCCTTAAAAAGGTCGGCATCGCCGTGCATACTACGTGCCGCGGCGGCAATAACCGGTAATTTTTCTGCAGCAAGATCCTTGCAGCGCAGCAGCCAACCGCTGCTTATATTTACTCCTTTCCTTCCCCCTGGCGTCTTCACCCCTTTCGCCGCTCCAGGGGTGCAAATCGACGAATAGACAGAGCTCTCCTTTCGGAGGCGAACCGCGCAAAATAGAGTCAATTCGTGAAAGCGGGGTCACTCGACAACCGTGATCGATTTTTTATTTTTTTATTTTTTGCGCAAGGATCGTAGATCGAGAGAACGTGACTCGTTTCTCGTGAACAAAACGCATCGAGCGCGGACAAAAATATTCTATCAGTAGTGGTAATCCGAATTGCAGGCCATGTACAAAGCACGTCTCGAATTTAGTAAATTATTTTTCATTTACAGACTGTTTGCAGTTGAGATTTTTTTTTTAATAATATATATATTAACGTAGTTATGAACGTATAATATCGATATTAACATATCATTATCAAGCAGTTATGCAGATAGGATGGGTAGACCTCACATTATGTTTCGAATATTCACGAATTCAAAATTAATATAAGCAATAATACGCGATTAATCAATACGTTATTAATTCTCAAGTATAACAATAGTATATTTCATAAACTACGAAAATGTGGATACCAGCGCTTTCTTGGGATGTTCTTGTGAACTACCTCATGCGTTACACGTATGATACGTCCAGGTCCAGGTTACTTTTGAAAGGCTTTTTTATCGATTTGCAGCGTAAACTGCTCTTTTACGTATCAGGTGATTGCATAAGTTCGTGCCCGATTTAAATATAAACTTCAATAGATTATATTTTAGAGATAACACTTTTATTAATCAATTATATAGTCTCCATTCTTTTCTACAATGGTTTTCCAACGATCTATAAGCTTGTCGATTCCATTTTTGAAGAAAGAACTTGGTTTTTCTTGAAAAAAGTTTGTAAGGTGGTTTTCGACAACTTCCTCGGAATTGAGATAATATTGGAGTTTTATGTCAATGAAAATAATTTAAAACATATAAATATATTAATAAAATTTCTTTTACAATACATATAAGAATTTTTTCAGTACGGCAGACCATTTACTATCACAAATTGACTTAAAATAAATAAAGTATAGTGCTGATTCAAAGTTTGTATTTAAAACTTTCTCAATTCACTTACTTTCACTCGATTTATTTATTACATCAATTATAATAATGACTAAAAAGCAATTCCTTTTATATATGCTATCAGCATTAATCCGATTCGCTCTCTAATTTCTCAAGAGATTATTGCAATATCCAAATTCAAGTCACGGCTAAGGCTATAGGAATAAATGTATCTTAAAGGATTAATAAATGTAAGTCATTAGATATGCTTTGCATTTGAAAATAAAGATCGTGGTATTATATATTCATTTAAATTCACCTTAATATGTCGCGACTAATCCGGCGCGACAGGATCACGCGAAGCATAAAATCCAAATTACACGATGATATAGCGTATCCTGTTCCTAAAGTTTCCGTTCCCGCCCCGCAAATTACATTCACGGGGTTTTGTCATAGAGATCGAGCTATCTAATTGTAAGTCTTGCACCTTGACACGAAAACGCTGTTTTTAGGAGGCAAGGCGAGCCGTCGCTATTAACGGTAAATAAACGACACGTTGATAAGATAGAAACTAATTAGATCGTGAAGGATGTCGGCGATGTTTAAAATTCATGTAGCTATTGACCTTAGAGAGGAGGTGTTCAAAGAGCAGTGATTACTGGTGTCAAGAGCTACTATGGATGGGATGTATAAAATACGAGCGTACGCCGTGACAATTTCGAGCGCATGACTGAGCATAATAAAATGTATATCTATAGAATCATATATATGTATCAGTTGTTAATAATTCTAACAGATTTCTTATTGCATAATCTCTTTCGAACAATGCCGCCGCATAAAATATTAATGATTAACACATTATACACATATATATCAAATATTTAATCTATCTTCCTAAACTTAAATATTATTTACTTTTATATTATTATATAAATATTATACCATCTAATTTTTTAAAATTATGATTATCATAATTTAAAGCGTTTGAATTATTACTGATAAGAAAAATTAATTTTATTATACATTCTGCTCGAATAATTTAATCCGATATAATTCTGTATTTTTATATGTCTGGAATAAAATTGGCTTTATCTTTATAAAATTATGAATAGGAATTATATTTTCGTGTGTGAACGTGAAAAAGCATTCGTATAACAATTTTTAAAATACTATATTATATAGAATATATATTTTATAAAATTTGTAAAAACACATTATATTATTATTTCAAAAATGATTTTATTAAGGAGATATATGTTTTAAGAGAGAGAATCATGTGTGTGTGAAAAGTATTACAAATCTTTATATTAATCAAAAAAATAAAATAGAAGTAGACTTAAGGAGCAAATTGTGCGGCTGGATGTTTTATATTAATTATTATCTATTCATATAATATTCATACAAAAACATACAAAAATCTCATTAAAAATAAAATATATTAAAAATATTTTACATGCTCTATAATAAAAATATATCGTCGAAAATGTTCATGTCAAGTTTGAAATATATAATGTCAAAATTAACAGTAGGGGAATATTAACAATTATTTTATAACTTATAAAAAAAAAATATATATATATATATATATATCTTTTTTCGAGAAATCATATTTTCTTTTCTTTAACAATACAAATATTCATTGCAATGAACATTTTTTCAGTTCTTTTGTCAGAAAATTATTTCGAGCACAACTCATTTTGAATATTTGTAATCTAAATTGATAATTCAAGAAGATAAGCTATTGAACTATTTAAAACTGTTTAAAATTAATCGTTTCGACTTCTTAATGGCGTCAGTGTTTTATGCGGTGAAGCAAGGGGGGTCGAATGTACCATTCCTACATTTTCCTTGCCTTTCCAATAAGATCGTTTTTCTTCAGTTTTCAACTTTTCTATAGTCTTTTGTTGTTGTTCGATTATTTTTATCTTGGCACGTACTTCCTAAAACAAATCATTATCTTTAATCAGAAAAGACAAAAACAAAATATATAAAAATACAAACAACACATACCACACATACATTTTTATTTATAATTACAATAAATTCAATTCAGTATTTTATGCTCTCTTGGACAAATAAAAACGCAATGTAGAGTTGCTTAAGTATAAAAATATTTATTTCTATAAAAAGAATCTATAAAACATATAGCTAGAAAATATTGTTATATTATTTACATAATAATTATATAGAATGTACACATCACAACTCATATATTCTGCCAAATTTAAACTTCATACGTTATTGCATTACTCATTGGATATATAAGTGTGCAAATAACATTGCATACAAGAATTTTTCTTTTTAATGATATCATAGCGGCAATTTCATTAAAAATATGTAGTAATTTCAAAGTAGAGAGAGATATATACATATACATATATATATATATATATACATCAAATTAAATAATCATACATCAAAGTAACAGCGGAAAGTGTAATAAGAAATGCGAACGCAACAATGAATCTATCCGAACGCACCTGTTCCAAATGATAATTCTTTTCTTTTAGATGAGTAACATGTTTGATTCTTTGTTTAGGATTTTGATGACCGATTATTTCAGCGTACTTGTCACTAATTTCCTCATAATCCTTCTTGAGATGGTCGTTCGACTTTATAATTCTCTTGACTTCTCTGTACAGAATAAAATATATTGTTATTTATTATTTTGAGAATTCGTGATCAAAAGTTCTTTTGTATTAATTTGTACTCACTCTTCGGCCTCTTCTCGTCGCGCTTTTTCTTCCTGAAGTTGTTGTGTAAGTATATTTTCCAAAGACCTCCATTTGATTCGTTCTTGCTCTAATAATAAAGTGATTACCTGTAACACGACATTTTATTTTTTAACAATGTTTTATTCTTTTACAAAGTTTAATTGCAACAAAACAACGGATTCTTTAACAATTCTCAAAAAAGATTATTACCTCTGCATCATTTTCTCTTGTTTTTAACTCCAGTTGTTGAGAAAGCTCTTCTATCCGACCGTTTGCCTGTAAATGTTTCAAGTATATAATTACTAATAATTAATAATTATTAATTAATAATAAATGCACATTAAGTTATGATTCATCATTTTGACAATATATTCGAACTTACCATATCTGTGATAGTTTTATGTTGCGCTGCTTGATCTTCAAATAATTGTTTATTTTTTTCTAATTCTTTCTCCTGGCTCTTCAATTGTTCTAATAATTTACTATTTGCTAATTCCAGTCGTGAAATACCAAGCTTTTGAGCATCAGTTTGTTCCTCGAAATTGAGTAATAGATTTTGCACGTCATGTAGTTTTTTACTCATTTCATCAAGTTGCTTTTTTAGCTATAATAGAATTTAATAACTCAAATTAAAAACCATTTAGAAATATTTTAACAGTATCGTAAATTGTACAAAGTGAATACAATCTCAAAATGAATGCAATAATAATTACCTCATCGTTTTGTAAAGATTTCTGTTCAAAATCATTCTGAAGTCTTGAAATTTCTTTTGCTGCTTTTTGCTTCAGGTCCTCGATTTGTGTCTCAAAAATAGATTTTATTGATTCAAATTGAGATAAATTATTAATCTGATGTTGATCTACCAGCTCTCTATGAGTATCCAATTCTTTCATGACTACATGAATTTGCTCATCCACCAATTGTGAGCTATTGCGCATTGCACTAAGCAGATCTCTGTGTTTGCGTATGCAAACTTCACTATGTTTCAGATCATCTTGTAGTTTTTCCACTTCAGCATTACTCTGCGCCAAACGATTAGTAAGCGCGATAAGAGATGCTTTATTATCGGCCGTTATTAATTCAAACCTAAAAATATTTGTATAAGATATTTAAAGTAATTAATTTTTAATAATTATAATAATCATTCATCAAAATTAAATAAATTAGAGATGAAGTATCACATAAATAAAATTTATCGATATCACACACTTTTTTTTTCTAGCAACCATTTCAGCCCCTTCTGTTCTGATGCGATCCTTTAAAGCTCTCAATTCTTCTTTTTTCTCCGCCAATTCGGTTTCCGCTTTATCCAACTCAATTTGCAAACTTTGACTAAAACTTTCCTAAAAATCATAATTTGTCAATAACTATATTATGAATAGCATGTATTATGCACGTATTATGTAGCATGTATTATGCACAATGTCACCAATTATAACGCATAGTCACCTGAGTTTCTATGGACTGTCTAAGGTCCTCAAGTGTTGCAGAGAGTTTGGCGATTTCAGTATCTTTCTGCGAAAGTTTCTCATCTAATACAACATGCTCCAATTCCATACGAACCAAACATGCTTTGTATCTTTCATTGGTAAGTCGCATTTCATCTTCCACAGTGTTTTGTGTCTCTTTCATCATGGCATTGATCTAAATACAAAATTTCTACTTTAATATCTGTGAAGATGTTACTCCATTATAACAGAAATTTTCTCAAACATCACAGAAAGTTAAAAGACAACATCTACAGGCAAGCATCTACAGAGTGCACATATAATTTTATACTAATTTATATAAATTATAATGCCCAAAGAAGAATTAGACTTCACACGAATTCTAGAGAACAATGAGCAATTAGTCAGTGATGTTTGGCATTTTACGCACGTGTGGTCCGCTTACTTTCGCGTCGCATTCAACAATCACTTTTTTAATTTGTTCCTTATTTTCGGCACGACATGCTGCTAACGCGTTTCTTTTATCAGACTCTGCATTTTTTATTATTTCTTCAGCATGTTTCATTATTCGTTTAGTTTCCTCTTCGATTTTTCTAGTGGTAGCTTGTTTTAATTCATCTAATTCTTTATCTCTCATTAGTGTAATCTAAATAAAATAATATATATATATATATATGAGTATCCAATTCTTTCATGACTACATGAATTTGCTCATCCACCAATTGTGAGCTATTGCGCATTGCACTAAGCAGATCTCTGTGTTTGCGTATGCAAACTTCACTATGTTTCAGATCATCTTGTAGTTTTTCCACTTCAGCATTACTCTGCGCCAAACGATTAGTAAGCGCGATAAGAGATGCTTTATTATCGGCCGTTATTAATTCAAACCTAAAAATATTTGTATAAGATATTTAAAGTAATTAATTTTTAATAATTATAATAATCATTCATCAAAATTAAATAAATTAGAGATGAAGTATCACATAAATAAAATTTATCGATATCACACACTTTTTTTTTCTAGCAACCATTTCAGCCCCTTCTGTTCTGATGCGATCCTTTAAAGCTCTCAATTCTTCTTTTTTCTCCGCCAATTCGGTTTCCGCTTTATCCAACTCAATTTGCAAACTTTGACTAAAACTTTCCTAAAAATCATAATTTGTCAATAACTATATTATGAATAGCATGTATTATGCACGTATTATGTAGCATGTATTATGCACAATGTCACCAATTATAACGCATAGTCACCTGAGTTTCTATGGACTGTCTAAGGTCCTCAAGTGTTGCAGAGAGTTTGGCGATTTCAGTATCTTTCTGCGAAAGTTTCTCATCTAATACAACATGCTCCAATTCCATACGAACCAAACATGCTTTGTATCTTTCATTGGTAAGTCGCATTTCATCTTCCACAGTGTTTTGTGTCTCTTTCATCATGGCATTGATCTAAATACAAAATTTCTACTTTAATATCTGTGAAGATGTTACTCCATTATAACAGAAATTTTCTCAAACATCACAGAAAGTTAAAAGACAACATCTACAGGCAAGCATCTACAGAGTGCACATATAATTTTATACTAATTTATATAAATTATAATGCTCAAAGAAGAATTAGACTTCACACGAATTCTAGAGAACAATGAGCAATTAGTCAGTGATGTTTGGCATTTTACGCACGTGTGGTCCGCTTACTTTCGCGTCGCATTCAACAATCACTTTTTTAATTTGTTCCTTATTTTCGGCACGACATGCTGCTAACGCGTTTCTTTTATCAGACTCTGCATTTTTTATTATTTCTTCAGCATGTTTCATTATTCGTTTAGTTTCCTCTTCGATTTTTCTAGTGGTAGCTTGTTTTAATTCATCTAATTCTTTATCTCTCATTAGTGTAATCTAAATAAAATAATATATAT